AACATAATTAAAATATAATTAATAATATATATTTTATAAAATTATTAATATTTTATATATATAAAAAAAATGAAAAAAATTATTGTGGGGGCAAGTATCCCCACTATGATTAACTTAGATCCGTCTCTGCATGTGGTTGTGTGGTGAAATGATAGTCTTGTCTATCCTCTTCCTTTGCTTTAGGTTCGACCTCTTCAAGAACAGGTTCTTGTTGTTGGTAGTAAGTGGTTCACTCCAGCTTGACTAACAATGAAATAAAATCTACTACTATTATCTTTAGTGATACATTGTATAACCCAACTGTTTAACAATTGAAGTTATCAACTTTCATTGACAATATTATCAAATCCAATGTTTGAAATGTTTTGTACCAAATCCACGTGGATGCCACGTAGATGCACACCTGGATGCCACTTGGATGGTTTTTTTTTTTAAAACACCTGGAACCAGAACGGGCCGTTCCGGGTGCAAAATTAACACACCTAAAGTTCACCCAAAACGACCCGTTCTGGTTCCAGAACGGGCCTTTCTGGTTCCAGGTGTTTTCAACAAAAAAAAAGTCATCCAAGTGGCATCCACGTGTGCATTTACGTGACATCCACGTGGCTAATAGTTAACACCGTTAAAGAAATTTTGACGGAAATCTCACATTGAAACCAATTAATTCATTAAGGACCAAATTGAAACCAATTAATTTATTTGGGACCAAATTGAAACTAAAAATAAAAATGGGACTGAATTGAAACAAACAATTATTATAAGGGACCAAAATAGGATTTTAGCCTTAAATATTTGATGCATAAATAAGATTTACAAACTTTTTTAAAAATTAAAAACTATTTAATACTTTATTTCATTAATACAAATTAACATATAAAATATTTTTATAATTATCCGTTAATTTGAATTGATGAAATAAAGAGTCAAATAATTTTTTCAAAATTTTCAAAATTTTGTAAATTTTATCTATGCATTAAGAACTCTTAATTTATCGAATACATTACTAAAATTTTATGTAAAATATAAGTTATTTAGTGGAATAAATATAAATAGACTTACTTTTAGAGTAATAAATCCCTCCTCTTATATAATTATATAAAATAATATAATAAGTGAATGGATTATATATCCAGACTTCAAATATTGAGAAGTGTATTATATAAGGATTTAAAAAGATATTTTTATAATATTTTTTTTATGATATTCCATCAAATTTTATTTTTAATATAAAAAGTTATGTGTTATTTGAATTAAGATAATTAAGATTTTTTTATAAACTTTTCAAAATCTAGTAGTATTTAATTAAGACAATTAAGATTATTTTAGGAATACGTCAAAATTTAGTGTTATTCGATTAAATTTATTTTTACTTAAAAAAATATTTTGATTTTAAAAATATAAAAATTTCAATAAATTACTTTGAAAGATGAATTTTTTGAGATTTCGTAAATTTTTTTATTTATTTTTTTCTCTCTCTCCAAACTCCAACCTTTTTTATTCTCTCTTTCTCTTTCTCCCCTTTCTCTCTCCCCCACTTCTATTTTCTTCTCTATTTAATATTTTTTCTCTCTTAATCTCTCTCATATATCTCTTATTCTTCTCTTTATTTTAATATTTTTCTCTCCTGTTTTTTAATCTATAAAATATTGATGTATAGTTTATCAATACTTTTTTTGTTAATTAATAAATATTTAATAATTTTATGAGTAATTTAAAATGAAAAAAAATCATTAGTACCTGTTCAACTTAATTTTTACTAGCTAACTTAACCTGATTGGTTTGTTAGACTAAGACAAATTGATCCAATCTCTTTTGGGCTTAAAAATAAAAATCCAATATAAGGCTCATGATAAACACACCTCCACTCTCCTATAAACACACCCCCTTTTTAAAAAAAAATATATAAAATGTTTAAATTACCCTTAAAAAAATAAAATTCCTAAATTTACACCCCCTTCCTCGCACCCCCTTCCCCTCACCCGACACCCCCCTTCCCCGCAAGCAGAACGGGCTGTACTGCAAGCAGAACGGCCCGTTCTGCTTGCAATGCGGCCCGTTCTGTTTGCAGTGCGGGCCGTTCTGCTGCAGAACGGCCCGTTCTGCAAGCAGTACAGGCCGGTCTGCTTGCAGCAAGGGCCGTTCTGGGGCCGTTGTGTTGCAGTACAAGTCACCGCGTCACTTTTAAAATGGCTACCTTATGACTGATTTTAAAACCCCGATTTTAAAAGTTATTTTTGTACTAATCTTTCTTTCCATAGAACAAGTAAGAGTCTTTCTCTTACAAGACCACCTGCTGACATTGCGCACCCCTCTTCTTTCTCTTTCTGACACTCCTCTTCTTCTTCTTCTTACTGTTACGGAAAGTTCTTTCCGGAATTATATAAAAATGTTCCGGAAAATACTTTCCATAATATTAAATTCTTATTCCGGAAAGTATTTTCCGGAAATGTTTTGTTACATAATTCCGGAAAGTACTTTCCATAATATTAAAGTTACTATTACGGAAAGTTCTTTCCGGAATTATATGAACAATAATTTTACTATTCCGGAAAGTACTTTCCGTAATGCTAATGACTGTAAAAGTACATTTCGAAATGCTAATGACTTAAAAGAGTCTTTCTTATGCTGGTTATGGTTGGGTCAGTCCTTTTTTTCTATTCAGAATGACTGTAAAAGTATATTGCTTAATAACATTGAGCGGAAATAGGCTTTGGGAAGAAGATGGGTGTGGAGTGTGGGGTGCGGGGAAGGAGGGTGGGAAAAGGGAGGTGTAAATTTAAGAATTTCATTTTTTTTAAAGGGTAATTTAGACATTTTATATATATATTTTTTAAAAAGGGGGTGTGTTTATATGAGAGTGGAGGTGTGTTTATCACCAACCTAATCACAATGCTTCAAGATGGGTGTAAGGGCCCGACCAATGCTAAAGGAGAGGATTGCCAGAAGAGGCTACCCAAAAGGGAGTATCTTGAAAAAGGATTTTTTAACATCCATTTCAGATGTATATATTCCATTAAATAAGAGGAGAGACAGAAATAAGAGTAGTGATATGATGATACGATGAAAAAGAAAAAGAAAAATCTGAAAAAATAATGAAAGTGAAAAAGAAAAAGAGGTGTAAAAGTATTAATTAGAGTTGCACTTTCAAGTACCACAATTATAAGTTATAAGGCCCCGCTAGGAACATATTTATAAAGTTCTGAATTTAAGGGGACTATTTTTCTACGTAAAACCTACATAATAACTACCTCTCGAAATTATATTTGAAGGCCTCAAAAAGAAGTTTTTTTGATAAGTCGAATGGAGATTACAAGAAGTTAAAAGCAATTAGAGGAGGTTACCCACGTCTCAAGTGGTGTAGCGGTTACATGCAGCATGTTGAATTTAACTGACTCTCCCGATTTCTCTATAAATATAATGAATCAAGCACGACTAAGGGATTAGAAACCTAATACTTTTGTGCTTACTGGCACTCATTGTCACATCATGACTTTTGTGCACAAGACATCCAAGTATGGTTTCTAGGCCACTTTTCTTTTTCTTTTTAACTTTAGTTTTCTTTTCTTCCTAATTCAGTTAGGATAGTTTGTTTCAGTTTAGTTTATCATTTATGCATCATCTCTGAATCCTTATGTGTTGTAATTCACAAATTATTTAAAGTAAAAGATATGGTTATTGTGCTTGATATATACGTTGTTCATTCGATTCATTTAAATATTTATATATGCATGGTTCCGTTTCATGATAGTTGTTAAAGAACATCTAAAAATCTTTACATGCTAAAAAAAAATGTTAAAATTGAACCGTGACTAGTTTAATTTGTTAATCCTTTATATTTGGTGCATATGAGCTTCATTCCAAAAAACTTGTTGCACGTTAGTAACATACATAAGTAAGATACGTAAGAAATTATACTTGATATGCATCCCTAAATTGAAAGTTGTGCTAGTTTGAATAAAAAAAATCTATAAATAAATTTCATCACAGACAACTACATATGATACATTTTTAGATTTTGGAAACAATAATCGTGGTCTTTTTTACTAGAGAAACTGTTGGTCCATGATCTGCATCTCGTCCAAGCAGCAGTGATAGAAGCCATGCGATAGGGCTGGATGCCAAGAAGAGATAGAAACTCGGAAACTAATGGATAATTAACTCAACTTTTTGTTAAGTTATTTGTTCAGAGAGGATTCAGGAACTTCAGTCATTTCTTGATTCATATTTTGTACGTATTTTGATCATGTTTATACTTGTAATTTCTAATTAAACTAATGTCATTTCATTCAGAGTTTGCTGGTATTGATGAAAGTTTGTTAATTAATTTGAACATATATCAACGGATAATATATGGACTTGCAGTTAGGCACGCAACATTGAAGAAAACAAAATGTATAATGTATCCATGTACGAATATCTTTAAAAAGTGGAAAACATGACTTCCCGTATTTTCATGGTTTCTTGTTCATGAGTGTGCTTTAACTTTAATGTTGGACCTATACATGAATTTAAAGCCCAAACTCTTAGCTTCTGAAAATAAACAATCCAAGCAAGCTGGGCCTGCGCTCAAGTTTCCATGGTCTCTGGCACAATAAATTATAAGATTAAGTACATGTATTTTAATTATATCTCACCATCGACTCCCGTGAAATAACAAAATATGTGTACTCCAGCATAGAATTAGCAAGAAAAACTTTTTTTTTCCTCTCCTTTCTAAATAATTAAGATATAGTATATTAGTGTGAAATTAAACATAAGAATTAAAGATATATGATGCAAGATGGGTAGTGGGAGGAAAGAAAAAAGAGGAAAAGGAAAAGGAATGGAATTAGAAGGCATTACATCCGAACTTGGGAGTTTGGAAAGTTAAAAGGAGGTGTAATTAGGAGAATTGATAATGTTTGGAAGATAGACATAAATTATCGAATAAAATGTTTGACGAGTTTATGCAAATGGTTCTGGTGGATAGGATAGCGAACCTCAGCCCCATGACAGCCCCCATCGGTAAAACAGGTGAGAACTTGCACACCCTTCTCCTCCATCAGTCTGGCGAAGGCAATCTGATGATCCACAAGTGGGTCCCCGTGGCAGCCACTAACCAGAACCCGCCACGTAAGCTCTCTCACCCTGTCCAAAATGACAGCCCTGGCCCTGGGATTGCAGTACTCGTGATCACGGTCAGCCCCCACGGGCAGCGACAATTCCCACAGCAAATCACACACGTGCGGCGGCAAAACCGGGTCGTCCGCAAGCCTCACCTCGGAGGGCAGCCTCTTGGTTCCTCCGAAAAACGGCTGACTCAGTATGAGCCCTCGGATCTTAAGTGGGTCCAGGTGATGAACACGTAGAGCCGCGTGGTAGGCGATGTTGGCTCCGGCGCTGCTTCCCATGAGGTAGCAGTTGGAGAAGTCGGCGTGGTTTTTCAACCAGTGGTGTGAGTGGGAATTGAGTTTGAGCCAGTGCAGAGCCTCCACGGCGTCCTCGTATGCCGCGGGGAGCCTGTGCTCGGGGGCCAGCCGGTACTCCACGGAAACCACGATGGAGTTCACGTCGTTTGCCAGGTTGGCGCAGGCGTCTTGGAAGAAATCGGAGGCGGCGCTGAAGAGGACGAAGCCGCCTCCGTGGAAGTAAACGATGAGAGGGACTTTGGTGGAGTTGTGGAGTGCTTTGCGTGGGAGGAATATGCGGGCGAAGGTCTTGTTCGATTCGTTGATGGTGGCGTCTTCTGTGAGGACCGGGATGGGAAGGCTGGGATCGCCTCTGGCTGGGGTGCGTTTGTCTCCACGCACCCGAGTGATCGTGCCGTCCGGATTCAGCTCGATTTTTAGATGCTCCAACGGGTCAACGCCTTTCGACATACTGCTTCCTTCCCTTTGCTGCTTTCAACTTTCAACTTTCAACTAATCCCTATTCCATCGTTACGCCCGCCACTCATCAAAATAAAAAGGGACTACTTTCGAATCTCTTCAAATACCACCAATAATTAACTCTAGTACTCTACAAATACATACGACTATTTTACTTAATCTTATTATTGGCTTTTTTATAACTTAGGATAATTAAGTAATAATTTTCTGCATTACTTTAAAACAAAAATTATATTTTTAGCGAATGAGACAACAATTATTAAATAATACTTATACAAAGACACAATGATATAATCTTTAACAATTATACATACTACTAGAATAGTTTCAGTCTTGGATCGTATAACAGGAAGAAAATGAGTAATAACGTATATATCCGCAGAACCTTGCGACATAATAAAAAACTTGGGATGCGGTTGTCTTTGTCGTTAAAATAAAAAAGAAATTGAGGGGAAATGTTTGACATAATAAATGATTTGATTTATTAGTTTTAGCCTTGGGGCAGCATTATTAGATGCATGGATCATGAAATGATGAGAACATGATCTAAGTAAAGCGAAGCGAGAGAAAAGATAAGTAAGCTATCCATAAAGAGTTTGAAGTAAATGAAAGACTTGTTGAGACATGGAAGGATCACCGATGAAAATGCCATGTCGACCCCCTTGATAAAATTTGCCAACCACGTGAATACCCTTGGCATGGAGCAGTTTGACCAGGTCGCTATCACGGTCCACCAGTGGGTCCCCTTGGCACCCAAACACCGCAACCCTCCAGCCAAGTGCCCTAATCTCATCCAAAATCCTAGCATGACCACCACCCTGGAGCATTGGATTGGAATACTCGTGATCACGGTCAGCGCCAACGGGCAACGAAAGATTCCACATGAGATCAGTAATAGGCAAAGGTATAGTCTTATCCTCAGCAAGCCTCACCTCCGATGGGGTCCTCTGGGTCCCACCAAAAAAGGGTTGAATTAACACCACCCCTTTTATCTGGATCGGCTTGATGTGATCAACTTCGGCAGCTGCACGTAGAGCCGCGTTGTAGGCGATATTACCCCCGGCGCTCTCCCCCATGAGATAACATCGCGAGTAATCCGCGTGGCGCAACCACGGGTCGTCGGAGGTTTTGATCCAGTGCAGCACTTCGAGGGAGTCTTGGTAGGCCGCGGGGAGACGGTGCTCCGGGGCAAGGCGGTATTCGAGCGAAACGACGATGGATTGGGTTTGGTTGGCCATGTTGGCGCAGAAATCATGGAAGTAAGTGGAGTTGGCGTTGTAGAGGATAAAGCCCCCACCGTGGTAGAACACAATGAGCGGTAGTTTGGATTTGGTGTTGTGGGGTAGGTAGATCCGAGCCCATGTGTGCTTGGATTGGTTGACGCTGAGGTCTTTGGAGAGAGCGGGTGTCGGGAGGGTGGGATCCGGTGAGGGAGGGCTTTGCGGAGGAATGCTTAAGCGTGTCAGGGTGCCATCTGGGTTCAGGATGATGTTCAGAGCTTTGTAGGGATCCATAGTTGAGTTAGCAACATAGATGAGATATAAGGAGAATACACTAACCACTATGTGTAGCGACGACATGGCGAATCAAGTAATGACAGAAATGCACATACTTCCGGACCCTTTATCAACGATCAACTTAATTTATTAATTATTTATTGTACCATGTTTTGAATATCGATCTTATCAATAATAACAACTTTAACTGAGCTTAGTCATAAACATTGCCGATTTACTATACACTATTTATTATTTAGTGATAAAGGCAAATATAAAGGGAGATCAATCAGGCTATGCTGATGTGGCCAAAGAGTTATGGATAACAAGTTATAGATTGGCAAAGCAATGCCCATGTATCTAGGAAATTATCCGATGAAACCGCTGACCTAGCAGTTACAATGTTAATTCAACTGATCTCGACTTAGGTAAGAAGATATATAGGAATTAACCTTATAGAAAAAAGTTGACTTAATGCCGACTTGATCCTGGTAAGGATATTTGGTGCTAGAATAAGGACCTAGATCACTCTTATTCCTTAATATCGATTATGAGACTTTTTCGGTATGTCTAAAAATCTTACATTACTTAAAAATCGAGGTTAAAAATAGTTTATAAATACCTTCTCTTTTTAACGCATCGAGTTATCTTTTAAAAGACAAAATTGTAATGACTCAATGAGTGTCTAAAGCAGATAATACTTCAGATGCGATAACGGTGACTTTAACCATGATTACGAACTTACGATAATAACATTTATCAATGTTATTTTCCTCTTAATTATTCTTTAATCACTTTTTCTATCATGTCCCCATGACATTATTTTTGTTTCTCCACTCTATCCCATTTCACATGCCTCCAATGAAGAATAATCAATTTTTAATTATTTATTTTTAAGATCAGTGCCAGACTTCACAACTTTCAGAACATGACGAGTTAAAATAATCGAAGGAAACTGTGCCGATGCCCTCGGTGGGAGCAAAGAATACTTTCCTGACTAAGACGATTGAGAACATTTCTCAAAAAAAAAAAAAAAAAAAGACAATTGAGAACAGCTAGCAAGCTATGGGACGGTAAAGTAGAGCGTGATTCAAAAAGAGACTTTCTTATTTTTTATTAAAAAAATAAATATGTTTAATAATAACACGTGCTACATGTTACGATATATTTACTAAAATAACACATTTTACTATTCTAGAAACCTTTCCTCCCTCTCAAATTTGATTTCTATACGTAAAGTAATTTCATTGATTTAAATCGTGAAATGTGATTAAATAATTAGTAAATAAAATTATTATTTTATAATTAAATTTTTATTTTGTAAAATTATTGAGAATTACATTTTAAAAAAAAATATATTATGATTTACCAAGTTAAAAATACTTTTTTTAATTAATTTAATAAATATAGTGCTAATGACTAAGTAATTGGTGATGTATTTTTCACTAATTTAATAAATATTGTGTTGATGATTAAGTAATTGGTGATTAAATGGATAATTTTTTGATAATTAGCTCTATAATTAAAAGTATAAAATTAAAATTGTTTATGATTAGTTAATGTTAATTAAATTTGCAAATGATGAAACATTTTATTTGATTATTAAAATTTAAAATTAAAATTACATGTTAATAAAAATGATTAGTTATTGTACTATCCGTTCTGCGAAGCCGAGCTCCGAGCTCGGCATCACAGTACAAGATGAGGTCGGGCACGCGCTACGCGACGTCAGCTCGGCATTTAAGCAGATCATAACTGATCTCGAGGGATCTCGTTCAGACGAGATCCACTATCTAATCTTATCATATCTTATCTCAGGCCCAAGACCCAAAGCAACCCTAAATCACACCAAGGTACGTGCATTACATATACGAGATTCATACTCATACAAACCCTAACTTTAGCATCGGAGTCTCTTTTGCAGGTATCACCTCCATATTGGAGCATCAAGCGTACTAGTGAAGGAGGCTCACCGATGGCGGATCAGCTTTATAGCAGATTTCCGGTAAGAACAGTTATTATAATGATATCCTATTCTTTTATTATGTTTATAATTTTAACATGATTGTTCATCATCACCAACCACGTTGATTTTAAGATTTCAACATTAAATCATTTTAATATGTTTAAAAAGTACTAAAAATAGACAATATCTTAGATGTAGTAACCTTGCTGATAACAATGAACTCACTAAAGGAGAACTATTATATATCTAATAGGACAACCTAGGTGACAAATTTTATTTTTAATCTTTATAATTTCGTAAATTTTATTTTTAGTCCTTATAATAATATATGTCATAAATTAAAAGAAAAAAAATATGTGTATAAAAGTTAAGAAAAATATTTTGAACTATATATAATGACTTAAAAAGTAAAATTTATGAAATTATATGAAACAAAATAATAATTAAATCTAATTTAATTAATATAACTTCAACCACGTATAGTATTTATTTATTGAATAAACTCTCAATTTTCTCTTTAAAGTATTACATTTTATTTAATAATGTTTCAAATAAAAAATATATGAATAATCTTTAATATATTAGAAATCATAATAAATAAGTTTCTAAATCTTAAATTAATTATTCAATATTAATAAAGTATATCAACTTAAGAAGTAAATTAATGAATATTTAGTAATTGATGTTTTTTTCTATTAAAAAAATACTTGAGAATTTATTTATATATTTTAACTATTTAGGAATGATATGAAAAGAAGCAATGATTTTTGGAAATCTTAATTTTTATAACATTCCATCTGCACTTCCCATTTTTTATTTGTTTTTTTCCTCATATATAACTTATTATATTTGTATTTTTTTTATTTTTTCTCGCGTCATATAACTTATTATATCTATATTTTTATTTATTTATTTATTTTTATCATAAGAGTTTTTTTTATACACTTTATCATTAATTAGTGTCTAATAACATTTAGGATGTACAAATATATTTGTTGATGAGGATGTTTAAAGAAATTAAAGTTTGAGAGAATAATAGTTGAAAGTTGAAAGAGTGTTGATCTATTCTACATTAAGCATGTAACTTGTCATCAAACGTGATTAATTAGCTAGAAGATTTATTGTGTTTAAGAAGCGGTCATTGAGATCTGTAGTTGGTGGTAGACCTTTTTGGCCATGGAAGGATCTTGGATAAAAATCCCATGATAGCCTCCACGGAAGAACTGGCCCACCACATGCACACCTTTCTCCTCCACCAATTTGGTGAACCCCACTTGACGGTCCACCAGAAGGTCCCCATCGCACCCGAACACCACAACCCTCCATCCAAGCCCTCTAATCTGCTCCAAAGCCGGTGATCCACCGTGAACCGTTGGATTGGAAAACTCGTGATCACGGTTAGCGCCAATGGGCAGTGACAGCTTCCACGCAAGATCAGTGGCGAACAGAGGCAATTCCAAATTGTGGGCCAGCCTCAACTCCGAAGGGGTCCTCTTCACTCCACCAAAAAACGGGTGAATCAATATTAGCCCTTGGATCACCACCGGTTTTATTTGATCCACCTCCGCAGCCGCACGTAGACCCGCGTTGTAGGCAATATTTCCCCCAGCGCTCCATCCCATGAGGAAACATCGGGAATAGTCAACGTGCGACGTCACGAAGGCCTCGCTGGTGGTTGTGATCCAGTGCAATGCTTCCATGGCATCCTCGTACGCCGCCGGTAGCCGGTGCACCGGGGCGAGGCGGTAGTCTATTGAAACGACGACGGATTGCGTGTCGCTCGCCATTTGGAGGCAGAACTTGTGGTCGTCAGGTGAGGAGGGGCTGAAGGCAACGAATCCACCACCGTGGTAAAAAAATACGACGGGAAGCTTCAGCCGGGGATTATCCAGTGCTTCGCGGGACACGTAGACCCGGGCCGATGTGGATTTTGATTGGTTGATGGTGATGTCTTTAAAGATAGTAGGGCTTTGTGAGGTTTTTTCTTGGCGAGCAAGGGTGACGTGGATTTGCTTGTAAGTGTCCACCACCGATGAGTTTACAACAGAGAGAAAAAGGTAAAAGGAAAATGCAATTATTGTTACACCAAAATGTTCGGAACGTGGGAAAGCATAGCGTGACATGGCTAACCAGGATTTTTTTTTAAATATTTTTTATGGCTTAGAAACCTCAAACTCCTCTCCAGAGAAAATATGGGATGGTGTTGGTGTCTAAAATTGCATGTTTCTGTATTCGGCCTCAATGCAATTTAGAGGAACTAGCTCGTAGATAAGGGACAAGAAAAAATCTTAGTGAAGTGTGATTCAAGTGATAATTTCTAAATAAATGCTTGCTGTAAAACTATGTCTATGGTAAACTGGCTATTTTTGTTCCATTCTTTAGTGATTGTATGAAATAGGAATCAATGGGACGGCTAAAGTTATGCTACCGCTGGGACTCATGATGTATTTTAAAGATTTTTTTAGCAAGTGCTTGATGATTAATTCGTTCGAATTTAGCCATAATTTGACGTGGCGTTTCTTTCTTAGTTGATTCTGATTTTCTTTCCAAAAAACAAAATTAATTATATAATATTGGAAACAATAAACAGAATATTATTGTGAAATGTAAAATTAAACTAAAATTGTGAGAATATATACAAAATTCCCTTAGTCGCTTGTGACTTTTCTTTTATGAAAAAAAAAAAACTATGTATACATGCCTATTTTCGATTGAAAAGTAAGATTCTCGACAACAATAAACATAATATTAGTGTGAGAATGACTAATGGCAAATCACTTTTCCTTTTTCGGACACTTAAAAAAATAAAGATGGACACGGCTCGTTATTTGTCGCATCAATGCAATTAGCCCATAATTTGCGATTTTTATCCATAAAACTGAGGACTGAAGAAGCCCAAACATAAAAGCCCAAGAGCAAGGAATGGGCAAAGAGAAAGTTGAGCAGCACAACTGTCCAGAGACTTAATTAGTCATAGCAACATGGTGTTTATTTTTATACATACAAATTACAATCACAATAATAAGCCTAAAATTATGTATATACTATCTGTTTACAGTCGAATCAAGTTTTATGGGCTCTTTTTATTTAGACTAGCACGAAAAACGTTTCAATTTAGATATGTGATGTTTCTGAGTTTTAGTCTTGTAAAACGAGAAGAGGAGTAGTAGGAAGATTTAGTGATTACTTGTTTCTAAAGATTCTTCAATAATTAACAAGCAATAATTTCCAGACATATAAATGTAAAGATGAACAAAATGAATAATTATGATACTTGCAATACAAATCATGGTTCAACTTGCATAATGTTCCAGAGTTACAATATCAAAATAATATAACTACGTGATTAAAAGAAATAACTAAGAGAACTATGCTAATTCTACTCCTAAAAAGCAAAAGAAAAGTGGTCGAGAAATCGTACCCAAAGCTGTCTCGTACGCACAGTATGTCTTATACACAGGCTGCGGAGTGCATGTGAGGTATTGTGGGAATTAGATTTTCGACCTCTGTAAAGGTCCGTAATCGTTGTATTTATAGAGCAATCAAGAGCGGTTAATTCTGTGCATGTACGCCTCTAACTCATAACCGCTATCCACTATATTTGCTACATGGTCTTGAATTATAACTTCCTTTAACCGTTCTTCCCACCATGTTCTGAGAGAGTCTCAACTTTTCAACTATTCTTCGAGCAACACTTGCTTTTTCGAGTCCGAGTACTCCCACGTCCCACGTAAGATTAGTCACAAGTACTCAGCATGTGTTGATTTTACTTCTCGGGCAGCGCTATCAATCTTTTCGAGTCACATGATTTTCGAGTACGCCTAACACTATCTCAATTTTATTATCTGTGTTATGAAAATCAGACCTAATCAACCAGAATATCGATAAATCAATCATCTCCCCCCCTCCCCACAAATTATATAAATAAACAAATAAATCATACTTTTTTTCTTCCTCATATTTCCGCACACTTTCCTTCATTTGAGAGGAAGAAGTTTTTGTTCGAGTCTCATTATTAATTTCTCATGTTTGATCCTCTACTAATTAAATAATATCAATTTATTTGCTTTCACACACTTTCATTTCCTTTTCTTCTCTTTCTCTACACTTCTCACTTATTAAGGAGACTCTTAATGACATAGTAATGAATTTTACAAGTTGTTTATTTTAATTATTTCTTTCTTTCATTTTTTATTATTTTAATAATAAATCTATCCAAATCAATCTAAATATGATTAAATCAAATCAGTTCAAATTTTAATGACTGAAAAATAAAAATATCAAACAAATTTAAACTATAAAATTTGATTTAAATGAAAATATATCTCAAATTCAATCAATTAAATGTGATCTATGCCAACACCTACTCTCAGAATAAGTCCTTTTTTTCATGATCCAAAAATTTTACCTTTTTATTTCCTTTAATTTCCCTTCAAATGTATAATTCCATTTTTTTACAGCTTGAAAATATAATTCTAAATACATAAATTGGTTAATGCTATATATACTGGTTAATATTTATGTTGTCCTAATTCATACAAAACTAATTCAGAGTAAATAGCTGTTTTGTTCAAATTAGTTTGAATTAATTGTCCAAAAATAATAAAAAAACTATATTAATTTGGGAAAAATATATAAATCTCCTAGGAAATGGGTCACACAACGTTATATATGTTTACAAAATAGAAAAATAATGTTATTTTTATTTTACCTTTTGACAATAATTTGTACCATCAAGGAAATAAATAGGAAACTAAAAGAGAGATAAGAAATAAGATAAAAAAAATTAATGTAATAAAAATAGAATGATTTTTTTAATTATAATTATCCTAAGAATATAAAGTAAAAATAACATTTTTAAATTGAATATAATAAAGGTGATAACAATGCCTAACAACTTCACAGATATATTAAACATCCATCTCATTTTTGCAAACAATAAGATGTATTTTTATAAAGGAAAAATTGGTGGACACCAAATTCTAGTTAACAGTTGAAGAAGGATGCTGAAAAGAGAAAGATGCACAAGTATAAAAAGTGATATAATGCAATAAAGAGAGAGAAAAAAAAATTGGCATTGATGAAGTGTATGGTATGTGAATGTAACTCCATATCATGAGTCTGATAAATTTCAGTTACAGTAAGCATTTATCTTATTTTAAGTTTATCATGATGACTAGGTATTTTCAACCTGGACTTCATTGTTCTAAAATCACCATTGTTTCCCTCATATATGTCATCGTCAGTCTTGTAACTCAAACTTGGAGGAATATCTTTTTTTCGCTTCCCAATGCCACCTTTAAGCCACTCAATCACCTGTAACATGCTAGGCCTCTTCTCTGGGCTACTATCAATGCACCTCATAGCCACCATGATCACAGATTTCAATTGCTCCAAATCAAAATGCCCCTTCAATCTTGCATCAACAATATGATTGAAGTTACCCTTTTGGACATAAGGTGTGACCCACTGAATTATGTCCCTTTTGACTCCGCCAGGAAGTTTCTCAATTGGTTTCTTGGCACTCACAATCTCCAAAAGCAAAATCCCATAACTGTAAACATCACAGCTCCCAGAAACCTTCCCCCACATGGCGTACTCTGGCGCCAAATATCCAAGGGTGCCCTTAACCCTTGTCGTCAGATGGCTTACACCCTCTGGTAACAACTTAGCAAACCCAAAATCAGCAACCTTGGCTTCAAATTCAGCGTCTAAAAGAACATTGCTTGCCTTTATGTCTCTATGAATGATGTGAGGGTTTGCCTCATGGTGCAAATACCTTAACCAAACACAAACACAAACACCTCATATAAATGCCAAACTTTTATAATAGCTACTTTATATAGAGTCATATCTTAAAATGATTTCTGATTTATAATTTATGAGAGAGGTGAAAGGAGGACATACGCTAAGCCTTCAGCTGCTCCAATAGCTATGCTCATTCTTTTAGGCCAATCTAGCAAACAATCGGTGGCAAGTTGACCATGCAAATGGGTGAGCAAACTGTGATTAGGCATGTAATCATACACAATCAACCTTTCATCGCCTCCTGCATAGAATCCACGCAACCCCAACAAATTCTTGTGCCTCACCCTTCCTAGTACTTCCACTTCAACTGCAAACTCCATATCTGCCTTTGCAGTCATAGTCTTCAATCTCTTCACTGCGATCTGCAAGTTTCATTCATTCTCTACATATTAGTCCTGCATGCTTTTAATTTTTGTACAAGAAAAAGGCTTCATAGCTTTAATTAAGTTTATCAGAAACAAATTAAATATTATATATGAATATAATTGCCTCGACGCCTTTACTTGTTCGACCGCAATAAACACTTCCAAATCCACCCTCCCCAATCTTGTTATCTTGATGAAAATTGTTTGTTGCGCGAAGCAGTTCCTTCAACGTGTATATTTCCCATGGATAGTCCCTATTTTTCTTCTTCTTGTTGTCATTCCTACAACAAAACATAAATAAAGAAACTCCAGAGCTGGAATATGGACATATATATGTTGTATTCTGTAACAAATATCATCACGAATTTGTGGAGATAAAATGGATTAATTTGATGAAAGCATACTGTGTTTTGCTTTGCTCTTCTTCGGGAAGAAAACAACAGAAACATTTGAAGTGCATTTCTTTGTTGAATCTGAATTCCCTTCTGGAAAATAGATGAAGAAGTACATCCAAGAATTTTATTTATTTTTTTGATGATCGTCTAAGAAATTATTGAGGGAAGTGGGAAGGGAAAAAAATAATAAATCTGCAAGAAAAGACCATGATATATCGGCAAATGCAAAGAAACAACAAAAACTAAGAGACCTCTGTGGTCACGACAAAGGGCTGCCTTGGAAGTCAAGGACTTTGAAGGCAAGGCAATTAAGTGAGTATTATATGCCTCAAATGGGTATATGCCAGTGTTTACAAGCTTTTGTCAAGCACCATTTTCCATTGAAAATGTCACACAAATATTCCTAACCCTTTTATTCAAGACTTATATATTATTCTTACACTAGTTTTTTTACAACATTTTTTTTTATTTTTGTCTTTCTCTATTAATTATATCAACTATCTTACTTCAGACTCTTTCTTTTCTTCTTAATTCTCTTCTTCTTTCTATATTTTTTAATATAAATTTATGCATGTTCATATTTTTCGTTTGTTTAATTATCAATTGTCTTTTCAACTAAAATTTAGGATTTTTTTTTAATTTATAGGTTATTTAAATAAAATTTACGATGCTCACATATTTTGTTTAACCAATTGAACTATAACCATTGATGTATTATAATTTTATTATAAGCAATTTTATTTAAATGAATATTTTAAAAGCGAATCACGCATTTATTTAAACTTTTCAAAATAACCAAATGATAGCAAAATAAAAAAATATGATTAAAATCAGAATCATAAAGTCACTAAGTCAGGAGTTTTCGTTAAAGTAATTTATATGATTGTAAATAAACATAATATAATTTATCTTGTACTTTTGTTTTAAAATCTCAAAAGAATAATTACTAGATTATTTTGCATTAAAATTACTCTTTCGTTATAACAAGACTTAATATTATCACCGACAATCAATTATATCTTTTAAATTATTTTATTTTATTTTTATTTTATTAAATAAGTACTGACTTGATATTATTAAAAAATATAAAAAAATCTTACTCTTACAGTGTATATATATATCAAACGGACCTAAATTTCTCCTATATAAGTTGTATAAGAAATTCAAATTTTAATATAAGGACAGTAAAGCAATCATTGCTAATTCTTCTCTTTTTTATAATAATAGAACTAAAACTGGCCATGGAGGTGTACATAGAAAGCTAATGAATGAAACCTGTACAACGTTCGGCTACTAAGTAGTTGACAAAATGTCTTAATCAAAGACAGTTAGCTGTGGGTCGTTCATATTATTATTATGGAATTAAAAAATAATAGTCATGGGTAATTAATTAATTACTTATTCTTTTGGACAAGTTCTATGATAATTGGTGTCCAGTGAGACGTTTTCATGTAAGCAAGCAATACAATTTTCCCAATTAAGACTACTAAAAAAATGTAGAATTATTAGTTTTTAAAATATAGTTGTTGTCGTCTTCATTAGGTTTTTTTCTTTTTTGTTCATTATGTTAATTTACATTATCTATATAAAAATATAAAAGTGATTTCTTGTTTTGATTAACATAATTTTTAGATTATTTTTTTTTAAAATTTTTAAATAATAAAATTAAAATAACATTAAAAATTAACTATTTTTAAGAATTTAAGATCTTGAAGCTCAAAGATAAACATAAACATCAAATGATTTAATAAATATTGGAACACAAAGTGTCTCAATGCCACTAGTTGTTATAATAAACATTGTGTCACATAAAATATATATGTAATCTTTGTTTAACAAATTATTTAAATTAACAAAGAAAATACATCATGTAATCTGATTTGTATCGATAATAAATTATTAACAAAAGTAATTTTTCCTAACTAAAAGATAAACTACTCTGTAAATAAGCTATTTGTTATTTTTTTTAGAAAAAACCTTATTTTATATTAAAATTATTACAATAATAAAGTAATTACCAATTACATCAATATGCCCGTCACTTTTGGGTTCACTCTTTATATTATCAATAATAATAAATAAAATTTGATTTTAATACATTAGAAATTATCTTAAATGTTTTATATATTTAGTATAAAAAAATATTTTTAAAATTATAAAATAAATCACAATTAAATATTAATAAATAAAAAAATTTTAAGATCGAGGTACTTTATATCTCTAATAATTACATATAGACATATATTAGAAGTTAGGGATAATTATTCATAAAGGACATAATAATTTTTTTTATATAACTAAGACTAAGAGGTATAATAGTCTACTAAAAAATGGAGACAAAAAATAATTACATACATATCCCAGTATCCTTGTCATGTGATTTCAAAAAAAATTATTTTAGTCTTTATACTCAAGTTTTGTTAGGTAATTTATTAAATATTGTCACATAAAATTTATTTATTGATATCTCTATCAGTGAAAACATCATATTAAACTCTATTGATGATATATAATTATTTTAAATTTTCACTTTCAATTATATTATTGGTGTCTTTTATTTTGGTAAAGATAAGAAAACATTATAAAGATGGTCGCAATGAAGATTGAACCTAGGTCCTCATACTTCTAACTACCCCGACCCCTCCCCACCAAACCACTAGGCTAACCCTAATAGTTATATTAATAGTGTCTGAAATGACTAAAACAAGATTTTGAAAATTACAAGGATTAAAAATAACAATTTTAAATTTGAGAAATAATTTTTTTTTTACCTTAAATTTGAAGGTTTAAAACATATTTAAGATTATTAATTATTAACCAAATAAATAAATTTGTTTGATTCAAGTTGATTCGAATTTTAAGTGTATCTGAATCAATCAACATCAGATTTAATGTATTTGATTCAAATTCTATAAATAAATAAAAATCTAAATCAATTTAATTAATTTAATTCAAATTATTAATTAATCTGATCCGATGAATAACCCCAAGCATGTGATTCAATGGTAGGGGTTGATCCACGTTTAAATAAGATCATGAATGATACTCCATAGATGAAACAAAAAAAATCCGATCCGATGAACACGGTTGAATTTTATCCAACTGGCCCTAAATTCATTTCTATTCGAACAAAAAGAATTATATATATACATATATATATATATATATATATATATTCTTTCTCATAAACTAATCTGTAATCGAACAAAAGAATGATTACTCATTACTTTAAAAATGATAATTATTTCTCACATATTTGATGACTCTATACTTTTCAGCCTTCTATTTTAAAAAATTCTCTTAAATCCAGTTTTACTATCGTGTTTAGCTTAATTAAAATTTGTTGACGTTCTCGATGCTTATTACGTACAGGCTTCTTGCGTATGTGCGTTTCCTCATTTTTGATTGCTTTCTTATGTCTATATCCTATTGGTTGCGAACATCATATGTTATCCTAATTATTATTGGCCAATCAAGGTAAGTAAGATGTCAATTTTTGACCAGTAAAATATAAAATTAATACGTCATATGTTTTTTCTGATTCATCATATGTAAATGTCTCTTATCAGGTCAGAGAGATTATTAATATAGTTCTATTAAAATATATAATTTAAAAATTAAATATATTTAATACAGAGATTATTTATTGTATTACCCCGAAAAAATTCTGAGATGGACACTGCCTCAAAATATCTTAATATTCCTTCAAAGTCTCATATCGGGTAGTTTTGAAAAAGGAAAGTGGTAGACGACTACTATAAATAAGGGGTGATAGTTTGAGTCTACTAACCACAACAACTTTAGTTCTTGGGTGTATTAGGGACTTGGATAGTTGTGTGTCAAGAGAGGATTTGTAATTTTTCCGTGCAAAAATTGTGTAATAGGGTTTGTAATTTTATCCTTGTAAAAATTGTAAGTGGAGAAATAAAATTAATTTGTTGAGGGTGTTTGTGGATGTAGGCAAGAAGTGCCGAACCACGTAAATTTATGAGTTTATTTCTCTATTTTTGTTTCTCTCGTTTGTATGCTTCTGCTTATTGAAGTTTTATTTTCTCTCTAGTTCCCAATGAGTGGTATCAGAGCCAGGTTGGTGTGGTGGGGCTCTGTGGAATTCTTAATTCTTAGTATGCTATGTGGTTGCAGCATTCTCTGATTTTTCACATCAGAAAAGAATTGAGGTTTTGACCAAGGGAGGAAGAGAAGCAGTGTACCAGTAAGGAAAAAATGTCCCGCCCTCATGAGAAAGGTAATATGGAGGATGGTTTTCAAGTTTCGCCATAAAACTTGTGAGGAAGGAGTTTCCAAGTTTCACCCATAAAACTTGTGAGGAAGGAGGGTTTCCAAGTTTCGCCAGAAAAACTTGTGAGAAAGGATTTCCAAGTTTCGCCAGAAAACTTGTGAGAAAGGATTTCCAAGTTTCGCCAGAAAACTTGTGAGAAGGGGTTTCCAAGTTTCTCTAGAAAAACTTGTGAGGAAGGAGTTTCCAAGTTTCGCCAGAAAAACTTGTGAGAAGGGTTTTTCAAGTTTCGCCAGAAAAACTTGTGAGGAAGGGGTTTCAAAGTTTCACCCATAAAACTTGTGAGGAAGAGGTTTCCAAGTTTTGCCAGAAAATTTGTGAATGATAATGAATTAATGTGAGACTTTGGATGAAGGGAGGATATGTTGTGCCCAAAGTGTATGGGTATCCTCCAAAGTCCCATATCAGGTAGTTTTGAAGAAGGGAAGTGGTAGACTATTACTATAAATAAGGGGTGATAGTTTGGGTCTACTAACCACAACAACTCTAGTTCTTGGGTGTATTGTGGACTTGGGTAGTTGTGTGTCAAGAGAGGATTTGCAATTTTTCCGTGCGAAAATTGTGTGAGAAGGTTTACAATTTTATCCTTGTAAAAAATGCAAGTGGAGAAATAAAATTAATTTGTTGAGTGTGTTTGTGGATGTAGGCAAGGAGGGCCGAACCACGTTAATTTCTGAGTTTATTTCTCTATTTTTGTTTCTCTCGTGTGTGTGCTTCCGCTTATTGAAGTTTTCTTTTCCCTCTGGTTCCCAACAAATCCAAGAGGGTTGTTTAACAGATTTTAGGAAGTGTACCTCCCCTGAAGTAATTCGGGATGACTCGCCCACGATCTCTAATCAAGAATGTTGACTTATCCTCAATCGAAGAGATTCGACTGGTCAAGTGATGTGACCACAACCAAAGCCCCTACACCTTATAGGATTGGAGCACAAGTATACCGTCTTGGTTAAATTTCGAGATGGTTATTATCTCGAAATTAATTTGAGAGAGTTGGTTAACCTACACTC